AAAAACACAAACTGTTTGGGGTCTACGGTGGTGTAATTGATCCATGAGAAAATGGTTGTGAAAACCAAGTTGAGGGCAAGGTGGCCATCTGAAAAGCAACGGCTACTGGATGGATCAATCTCAATCAAAAGCATCGGTGCGCTCTTGATACCAGGGACAAGGCAGCTTTGCAGTACACGTTTTAGACACCAAACCGCCGCTCTGAAGTGTCCACACACCAAGATGGTCCCACGGTGAATCCCGGTTTCAATCGACAAGTGTTGATTCAAGGTATTTTGCTGGTAGTGTGAAATCAAACCTTCTAACTTCCAAGCAGCGACTTTAAATAGGCTGTCCATTGTCCATGTACTCTGTACTCTTCCAAACATATTCTGAGCACAGCCAGTCTTCTCAACTCGTGTGTGAGTCCAAAGCCCTAATATTCTATGTCTATGCCCTAACTCTCCTGGTTCGAGAAACTTTGGTTCTATATGCTGAAAATATGTTGTTTCAAGACACAATCCCCCTCTTCAGCTCCTCCCTCTAAACTTAACCACTCCTTGCGAACATGTATCGCCTCCCAGTGTGCGCCAGGCTGGGTCAAAGCGCCATGGCCGAAAGACGTTGCCCCCATCGAAGGAGACCAACAAGTCGTTGGTGCTCCAAACCGCTGCAAACGCGTCCTGCGACAACTCGGCTTCGCTACTCCTACCTACTAGGGATGGCCTCCAGGTCCTGCAGTTGTAAAGCTAGGCATTTGGAGGACGACTTGCCCACGAAAGTATATGTAGTTGAAGGAGAAGGAGAACGAACAAAACACAAACAAATGAAGTAGCAGTTGCATGGGGTAGGCATGGCATCCAAAGAGTACTTCTCAACAATGAGTCTCACTGTGGATCCAGCTGTTTTTGAGATCATCGTCGCCCTGAAAAAGCGATCACTTTCTTGGATGCACCGTTCCCATCATTGGTGGAAGCAGTCACGGTATTTTGTCTCGTTCCCCTGCTTTTGCATGGCGACGGAAATAGCATCGCGATTCTGGGAGCTCCACAGTGGTACGAAAAGGAGGAGCAAATCATGAATGCCGCACTGGCAGTACCTTGATGTCACAGAAACTTGGATGAAGTCACTTCCGATGCGCTGCGAATCCTCCGGATGCAGGGCAAGTGGCCACGAGTGACCTACAGTCAACAGAGTGACCTCCTCACCTGATCTGCACTTCCCTTTTTTCTGACCCCAAACCGGTGTACCTTCACTGCAACGCCTCAGATCAAACCACCGCACCTTCACTTTGGGCCGCAACCGCAAGAACCACATGAAGTCGCTCTGCCCAAAGCCAAAGCCGTTCAGGATCCCGTTGCGCTCATCTGGAAGCCAGTCGCGCCTGATCGGTCGCGTGAAAACCCCCACGTCCGATCCGGCCGGGCGGTGTTGGGGCGGGTGTTGGGGCCTGCGGACAGTGAGTGCTGGTGCAGGGAGGGAGGTGATTCTACTGTTCTGCCTGGAGCTGACTTTGCTGCTAACCTTTCTAGCTTTTGGATTGAGCATTTCTGAGAGCGACCTCGGGTTTGAGTATGGTGCCGAGTTCGGTGATTTCTTGTAAGTTGCCGGGTACGCATGATCTGGACCGAAGTCGGACTCAGAAACCATTGATTCAAATCGAAACCCCGTGTCCGGTTCGTGGACCAAATGTCAAACTCCACCGAACGATTGATGCAGAAACACACAAACAGCCAACAAACCACGTGTATAGATCTGTGGTCAAAATGGAGAGTGTGCAGTCTCCTCGCACTTACATCGCTGGCCATTTACAATATGCAGCTGTCACTCACATATGTCGTATGCCTAGATGCTTGAGAACTGCATGTCTCCATACTTGCAAAACTAAAAGCCGTCACATTTCCGGATGGCTCAGTACCTGGTGTTTACTGTCAAAAGAAAGTATGACTCCATAATGTACCTTCTGTCTGCCACCAAGTTCACCGTCTGCCCCATATGTCAATATGCGTTGTTTCTGTCTGCCCAGTCCCAAAAAGAACCAACAAGCTTGTCGACCAAGAAGCTTGCATCCCCAGCTCTTCACGTCATCCCTCCGGACCCGAGTCTGCGGCAACGCCTGCGCGGCTGGGACTGCGAAACTCCTTCCCCAGAACCGGAGATGCGCCACACGAAGCCATTTAAGCGCCACGCGCCTCCAGCCCTCCCAAGAAATTCCACAGCGCCTCCAAGAAATCCCACAGCAATGAGCGTGCGTGGCCGATGTCCTGCTCACTCAGCACATCCGCCACCACCTGGGCTAGACCGAGGTCCCCGACGCTGAGTTGAGAGGATCCGTAAGTGCAGCTCGTTTACAGCGAGAAGTCTTTGGTAAATTAAATCATGTTCTGTTCTCATCAAAAAAACATCTCATGCTCCAGAATCAGACGCCTGAAACACATGGAAGAGAAAAAGTAAAAGTTCCTGTGTTGCCAGTTGACTCAGCAAAGGGCCAATAGCATTCAATCGAGTGCATTTGATTCCCCAGCTTTATCCGGACAAACATGTCCACCATGTCTCCAGCATTTTCAACCCTTGCACCAAAGTCTGATGACTCACTCGACGGCTGGGAATGGGCGGTTTTACCACCTGGCCCTCCCGGCTCGTGCTCCAGGCCACGGCATATCCCTCTTCTTCCAAGTGCTGCAGGAAGGCTTCCCTTGGCACAAGAAACTTCGTTCAAGACCTGATCCGCTTCTGTTCTTAGCCTAGTCTTGAAACTAAGCGTAACTAACATAAGGACATGCAAATAGGAATTAATTGAAATGGACTTGTGAAGATGTCCAGGGGTGATTCTGATTGGGTGCATCAACTCCTCGCTGACTGGACCATCCACCGAACGGTAAGTACTTGTCTGCGTTCTTCTCCGGAAAGACTCGAAACATGCCATGTCTGTTTGGAGTTGGCAGGCCTTGTTCCTCTTTCAGGCCCAAAAAATCTACCCAAGTGTCACAAGGGACTAGTAAACACATGTAAACACGACAACTGTCTAGCTGAAAGGGGCAGCAAATCGTTGGGGACGTGTCAGCTTACATCAGCTTACCTGTCAGTTGGCCGCATCTCTTGCGTATCACATCTGCGTCGAATCAAAGTCCACTGAGTGCGCTGGGAGGGTGATACGGCAACGTGCGATAGCTGAATCCTCCTCAGCCCGAATATACTGCAGGGGGGTTCGTTCAAATCCTTTCATCACAACGGGAAACGGAAAGCAACAGTCCAGGATCCAAGGAAAACACCACCCCAAAAAGGAGGCCCTGAAATCTTTCCGAACCAAAGACGCAAAAGACTTGAGCCTTCCAAAAATGAAAAAAACATCCCCTTTTCCTCCCCTTTTCTCCGCCGAAACAGTTCGCGGCTCACACCGAGAAACCGTTCCGTGTCCACGCGAAAGCGGCGAGCCTCGTGAAGCTGCACCGGCCTCGGCCGGCGGAAGCTGCACCCAGGCCGATCGGCAAAGACCGAACTCCAAAAGGAGATGGGCCAAACACCGAGGGATTCATGAAAAAAAACATCATCATTGTCATTGTGAATGGAACCTATTAAAGTTGTCACAGAAACATCCAAAACACTTCTGATTAAACTCACTCCGAGTCCCAAACCAGAGCGTCTCATTCCAGGACGTGACCCCATCATCCAACGCCAAGGTGCGGTGGCTCAGCGGCTTTCTCGGCCTGGCGGTGCGCTGGCCCGATCCCATTTGGTGGATCTCTCCGCTGGACGTGTCCCGCAGGTCTTTCCGTTGTTGGGGCACTTCAGCTCGGGACAAAAACACATTGCTTAATTATGGTGTTCAAAGCAGGTCCTGCAGTCCTGGCGATTTGTCCAAAACATCTGAAGCGATTCTTGATGGCTCGGGTCAAACCATGGTGTTCAACCTCCCATGCGTGCAACAAAAGCCATCGGGACGAGGTCCAACGGCGTTTCGTTCGAGGACTCATGAGTCCACCTCCAAGTCGTCTCAAAAAAACAAGGATTCAGAGGACCCACAGGGTTGATCTCCCCTTTGCTGGGATGATGTCCGCATTCAAGTGTTTCACTTCTGTCAAGTCAATAAGAACCTCAGTTGTTTCTCTTTTTGCCGTTTTCCTGCAAACCAGACATCCGGACTTCTTCTGGGTGACAGGTCTTCGGAAGATCTTGGGGAGTCCAAGGTCTCGATTTTAGAGGCCATCAAGGTCTTCGGATCTGATAGGGTCAGAGGTTGTCTACGGCCCTTCGGGTGTGTGAAGAATTAGTTGTGGACAGTCACAACCGACAGTGCTGAAGAAGAAGGGAGTAGACTGGGCTGGCAATCCGAAAGATTTGGGGCCAATGTTCATCCCGACTCGATTGAAACATTGGAAATTTTCACCATGACATGTAGAAATTTGTAGAATGACCAAAAATTTAGCGGATGAAAAAAGGAACTCCTAAAGGAAAATGACAAAACAATGCGAAGGTGCTCGTCAGCCCATGCTCACGGTGGGCCAACGCATCAAAATTGCAGATCTGAATGTGAAGGCATCGAACCACACCAACACCAGAAAGTTCCCACGCCTTGACCGGAAGCATAGCGAAGATGTTGGTCAAAGCATGCTGTGACGAAACATCGGGGTTTACAATCAATCTTTGTGAATGTCTCAGTAGCACTGAAGATTCCATTGCCGACAGCCACAACCATCCCAGTTCCACCATGTTTGTTCTGCTCAGTTTCCGTGTCACCGTGACTCATTGTATCCCTCTCGTTCGCTCTGCGGCTGACGTTCACAGCATAACACTGTAGCTGCCCAAAGCAACAAAAAAATGAAATAGCAACCAACGAAAGAATGGGGACGTAAATAAACATAACAAATTATTGTACAGTCCCAGATCCCGACAATCACAATCCATGTCAAATGATGTGATTAAACTTGCAAAATGTCAATTGTACCTTCCAGTTCTTTCCCGCAGTCGCAGTCTGTCCACCAAAGGCTGTGAGGTATTCCTGCGTACAAGCCATTCCCATGCGAGACACTGAAAAATGTCGAGCTTAAACGCATTCAAACATGCTCAACATTGTTCAAGACACATTCACACACAAAAACTACAAAGACCTCTGTTCTACAAAGCTCTCAAAACATTTCTACACACGAAGTTCCTTCAAAGAACGCTACTTGCTCCAGCACTCGAAATGCAAAACTACGCACTCCAAAAGTAAAAGCCTCAACAGCTCCTGCATTTGCCTGCATCTTCAAAGTGAGGCTCATTCACTCTGACCTGATGGTGACTTGAGTCGATGCGGTGGCCTCTCAGCTTTCCTGTCAAGTGTTTCCACCAAGTGCACCTGTCACGACTGGCCTTTAGTGGCCCAAGGTTCTCGCAGAGAAAAGGGCGTTCCGCTGTTTTTCATGGTAGCGGAGCTAGCCAAAGCGCTAGCTCCAGCTCCACCGGGCCGATCCATGCCATGTCGTTTGGTGATCATGGCGATCCTCCTTTTGTCGAAGATGAGCCCGTGTGTTGAGCGTCAGGACGACATCCCCTTCGTGCAGGTGAACGACACCATCGACTACGAGCAGGTGCAGACCGAGCAGGTGGCGGCCAAGGATGATAGGCTGACAATGCCTGAGGATTGGACCCTTGGGCAGTGCTTTGGGGCAGCTATGAGGTGGATCGGAACCACCAGGTTTGAGAAGTTGAAGGATGGCTGGATTGGGACCAGTCTGGCATGCTTGGAAGAGCCCACGAACATCAATGCTAGCAATGAAGATGGATGGCAGGTATTCCCTGAGCAAATCGAGGATTGGACCCTTGATGCTGGGAATGGTCAACTGACCTTGGATGATCAAGTGAAGAACGGAATCGAGCTCTGGCAGCTCGTTTGGGATTGGAGCCCAGATTGTGAGATTGACGAGTACTATGGGTGGAACTTCAACCTGACCATCATTGAGGCTCTGGACTTTGTGAAAGGCACCTTCACTTCCGCTATGCCCTTGATCCTTTTGATCATATGGAGCCACTTGCAGGTCTTCATCGAGGACATTGACATGACCGAGATTATGGAGAATGTGAGGTACCAGAAGGTTGGACTGTGGCTGAGTGGTGTGCTCGTCCTGCTTGGAGTTAGCCTTTGGATGGTCCTGAGGAAGCGGATGACCCAATGCAAGTGTCGAAGAAGACCAGATATGGGCCACTTGAGCTTGAGAAAGAGGAAATGGAACGGCCGGCTGAGGCAGCGCTTTGAATGCAGGCTACGTTTGAGAAGTTTGCTGTTTCTTGGTTGTTGGACTGCAGCACAAGCTATGGATGCCGGACAAGCGGCCCAGATGATGAATCAAATGCTGCAGATGACTGAAGCTGCGACCAATGCCGCAAAAGCCTCGGCCTCAGTTTTGGAGAAGATGGAGAAGAAGAAGGAGAGTGGCAACTTTGGAGAAGCCAGTAAAGTGTTGAAGGCTCCTGACTCGTTGGAAGGCGATGATCCTCTCAAGTATGTGTCCTGGAGGGAGACCTTTGTGAATTGGCTTTCATATGGAGACCATCGCTTCACAGACCTCTTGAGAGATGTTGAAGCTCTTGATGAACCATGCAAGCTCTCCGACTTTGCCACGCCAGAAGTCCGTGAGTTGGCTACACGCCTTTACTCCATCCTTGCCTCCTATATCAAGGGTCCGGCATTGCAGTTGGTGCGTGCAGAGTCCGCAGAGAAGAATGGATTCCTTGTTTGGCAGCAACTTCGTAATTTGTACATGCCAAAGGCTCGTCCTCGCACCATGGCAATCGGGCAAGCAATCATGAGCCATCCAGATGGACCTTCTATTGGATCAGTATCGACTGGCATCAGGACATCCAATGCCCGACGACCTTGTGGTCTCTACGGTCCTTCGGTGCATCGAACCGAACTTGAGGAGGCATTTGGAGTTGACCATGGATGACAGCATCACCTATGAAGGCCTCAAAGAAAAGCTGATCCTCATGGATAAGAACTCTCGTGTCTGGAGCGGCGATTCCTATTTGAAGTTGGTGCAAAATTCATTGAGGAGTGACCCTAATGGCCCCGCTCCTATGGAGGTCCCCTCACCTTCTCTTCCTGTCGCTGATGGGGCCACTCCCTCTTCCCCTCCCCCCCTCTCCTTTCCTCCTTCACCCGTTCTTTCCCCTCCTGACTTCGCTTACCCACCGCCCTCCTCTCCGGCTCCTCCTCCCCCCCTCCCCTTCCATCTCCTGCTCCCTCGTTTCCTCTGCCCCACACGGCCCCCTACCCTCTCGGCCCCGCAAACGCCGCTCCCTTTCCCCCTCTCCCTCCCCCTCTCCCTCCCCTCAGCACCACTCAGACACTTCTTGGGACGACGATTGGAGCACCAAAGACGATGATCTCCTTCTCAGCCTCAAATGCAACGAACGACTTCGACCTAGCTGGCGCTACATCACCACCAAAATGCAGCGCCCAGAGTCTCAGATCCGCGCTTGGTGGGCCGAACTTCTTGAACTACAACGACTGGCTACATCATGATCTTCGCCGATGATTTTTGGACCCACTCACTCACGGAAAACGGCCGTCGCCTTTTCACTTTCACTTTGTCGAATTTTGTTTCATACTCAGTTTGATCGCCTTTCTGATGCACCTGGTTCCTTTATATTTTCTTACAACTCAGCCTTCGGCCCAAATTTCGTCTCACCGATTCTACTCTCACACTTTTCAAGCGACCTATGTCCAATCCACCTGCGACAGTTACCAAACGCTCTCGACCTTCCATGGCCTCACACCTGCGGGACTCTGATGAACCTATCCTCGTCTCCACCACCTTCCCCAAGAAAGCTCGTCCGACAACACCTCCTACCTCATTACGGACTACCTCTACTTCCTCGCCTTCATCGAGTACGATTACCTCTATGGCGACTAGCTCCCCAGCGATTGACTCTACTCCAAATACAGAGCGACCTTTGGTAGGGCTGCTTGTTAAGCTCAACGGCGAGGAGATCCCTTTTCTGATTCCCCGGCCAACACGTCCTTTTCGACTACCCGAGGCTAAGCCTTAATGTAATTTTATTTGAATTAATTTGTTTTAATTCACACTCACTCCCTCGACTTGCCGCAAAAATCAACCCTGGACCGCCTACCGTTGATGAATCACCATGAATTTCACATTGACCACCACTTTTCTATCTCTTCGATTCTTCCGCAGCCTTTCGGTTCTACCTTGGTACACTCCCTCTTCCTTGGCTCGATATGGACAATATGGACCTTCAACCAGAAGATGTGCGTGTCCCTTCAGGCGACTCCTCGCCGACACAAGCTCCTCCCGATGACAGCCTTTCCCAACAGGAACACACGGCTGACCTCGTAACTCCTGTGGACCCTGCTCTCTTGACGAGCATCCCCCGCTCCGAGAACCAGTACAACGAGGACTATACTGACTACGCTCGTCAAGTTCACAATTCAACTCACGGAGCTTGGCCTGTCGCTGAACCATTCGAGGAATGGGCCTGTCGCCGATCCCATCAAGAACGCTATTGGTTCTATCGCGCTTGGTTTCACCACAAGACCCTTCCTTGGGATCACGAAGACATTGAATATTACAACCAAGAACCAAACAACATCCAACAGACTTACGCAAAGCCAACCTTTTCACGTTCACCCAAACCAACAAACGACGAGCAACCGACCAACCAAAACACTGGGCGTTGTTGTCACCATGCCAGAACAACCGGGTCGCGACGCAAACGAACATCTTGTCCATT